CCCAAAGTCTGATGCTCCAAAACTAAAATGTTTTGAGTGCCAACATGATGCATGTCATCAATGGAAGACTCAATACCTGACCTCCTGTAACATAAGTCAAAACACAGGTGAAAAAAAAGTACTGCATAAAATTAACTAAAGGTTATGTGTATAAATGATTTTCATGTGTAGATTTGGGTTCCAGCCCCAAGACATCTCATTAAGACTGTGCAAATATATGGACAAAGAAAATGTGGTATATATACACAATGGAATATTACTCATCAATAAAAGAGAATAAAATCACAGTATTTGCAGGTAAATGATGGAGTCGGAAAAGATAATACTAAGTGAAGTTAGCCAATCCCAAAAAACCAAATGCTGAATGTTTTCTCTGATATAAGGAGGCTGATTCATAGTAGGGTTGGGAGGGGGAATATGGGAAGAATAGAGGAACTCTAGATAGGGCAGAGGGGTGGGAGAGGAAGGGAGGGGTCATGGGGGTAGAAAAGATGGTGGAATGAGATGGACATGATTACCCTAAGTACATGTATGAAGATATGAATGGTGTGAATATACTTTGTATACAACCAGACATGAAAAATTGTGCTCTATATGTGTAATATGAATTGTAATGCATTGTGCTACAATATATAACAAATTAGAATAAAAATATTTTTAAAGAGTATATGCAAATATAACCAAACCTGAAACGTTTCAAAATTCAGAGCATTTCTGTTTCCAAGCATTCAAATAAGGGAAACAACCTGTGTTATATACATACCCATTTTAGATTTTTATCTTTGGTCAGTATTGAATTTCACCAAATTTGAATGCTCAACCTCAAACAAGCTTTAAGTAGCCAGCTTGGGGCATGCTTAGTGTTTAAGACTAAGGGGCAAGCACTTGACCTGGTATCAGAAAATTAGGGTCCACTCTTAGCTCTAAAACTTACTGTAGGATGATGAAGAAGTTATGTAATTGGTTAAGCCCTAACTCCCTATCTAGTCAATAAATAAAAGAGGGGATACCTTAAGGGTAGTGTGATTCTTGGCATATGCAAGGTCCTAGGTTCCATCCCTACTTGACAGGATATTTTCTGATATCAGATCAAGAAAGATACAGTCTATCAATATAATTTATAGTATTATATATGTAAAGCAGTAAAATAGTTTGCTATACTGTCGTAATAATAACAACAAATAAGAGGGGACTCAAAACAGTTTGTCCTACTTTCCCCCCCTTCTGTGAATATTTACTAATACATACTCTAGAATGGCACACCAGGTACTCAATGGTCAATAAATGACGGCTATCAAAACATTTTCTAAAGGCCTTCACTATCTGTTGTAAATCCAAGGAAGAAGTATCGCCTGAGGATTAAGGTACAGCAGTTACAAAAGTGAGAGGAAGCATCCCACACAAGATGGCCGCCTGCTCCCCACCCTTACTTGAGAGTTTACAGGAAAAGGTCAGAAGAGAAGATGAAGATGGAAGGATTATTCAGAAAGAAGAACAGCTTAAAACTAGAGGACTTTCTAAAATGACTCTATTTCCCCACAAGCCTCTAGTAAAAACAAGACTCAGAAGCTTAAAATTCTGGATTTCCCTTTCTTTACTAACAGATTTAAAGTGAGCCATTTAGTCATCCAGTAATCTGATACCTTCCATCTGCCATGATGATACATCTGATACCTTCCATCTGCCATGATGGATCAATTATCTTTTTATCAGAACATACCAAAATACAGTATATTACAAGTATCTTAAAAGAAGGATGATAACAAGCCTGCAGAGAGCCCATTTTTATGTACGTATATACCCATCCATTCTCTCCCTCTCAGACAGACACACATACACAAACACATATGCCTTGGCTGTGGTAATGACAATGTAGGAATGGCCCATTTATTGAGAGTCATAGATAAAACTTCTTAGATGGAAAATGGAAAAATCACTAGAGTTTGGGTGACAGTGAGAATTTAAGAGTTTTCTTTACACCGATCATCATCTTCTTCATCTACCACTACTCTCCCCTTTGGCAAATGTGAGACAATTTATTAGTATGTGAAATACAGTGCAATGCTGACCCTTTTATAGCAAGAAAGATTTGCTCTATTCTTTTTTTTTTTCCATGGGTAGAGGATAATAATCTTTTTTGTTGTGTGCTTGAAATTACTAAATAATCAGAATGATGTCAGAAAACTGACTCTTGTAAAAGTTTAATATAATGTCTCAAGTATGTAATGTTTTAAACTCAGAAGTCTTTCGTTCAAAAGAGTAGAGGAAGAAGAATGAGTTATCACACAAACAGAAGACATTTAGACCAACACAGACACACACATGGTACAAAGAATGAGATAATTAAATATTTCCAGCAGAAAATACATTTTCTTGACAGAGATAAGACATTAAACAGGTCAAGGGGATAAAAATAAAGGATTCTATGAGGGAGAAAACACAACACGTTAAGATTATCTAATATAACTCTAAGGATGATTTACCTTTCAATATATTTCTACCTGATATGCCTAAGGTTTTTTCTTTGTGAGAAATACAATACAAAATACTTCATATTTCAGATTTACACAGACTTTAGGATTAAAGATGGAATTTGTAAAAGGAAATTTCAACCTTTGCCCATTATTAAAGTTAGCTGGGATGGCAAAGAGCAATGACTATTTCTCGTGTAAAAGGAAAAAGCCTGGAAAGAGTAAAATTTAATAGTGCTTTACATAATACAATGTCCACAAAAACACAGTTCTGAATTACTAAAACAGCAATTTTATAATAAGAAAAATGTGACTAGCCTTTTTAACTAAAACCCCCAAAATTATTAGGCTCCAGTTATGAGACTATTTTAAACCAGAAAAAAATTATGATATTATATACTGAATCTTCAGAACAGTGAGAAAAGATATACACATAGACACATGAACAGAGACTGGAGCAAAGAGGAGAAAGCACAGTACATGAGAGTTGCAGACTGGTAATTTTCTGCCAGTAGTGTGGTCTATCACAACAACATTGACTTACATGAAATTTTACAGGCTTAGAAAATGAGAGTCTGACATTATGTATTTTGAGTGACCAAGCTACTCACCTCTTAGATATCAGATTATCCACATATCTATCACTCTAACCTCTAGACTCTAATATCATGTCAGAGTCTTCAGGGAGCTGACTAGCTGGTTTGTACCCACCAAAAGAAGTTCATTTCAACCATCATGTACTTTATTTCACTCTTCCTATTTTACAGGATTAATATTCAAATGCAAGCACAAGTTCTACAACAATACTACTTAACGTCGCGTATAGCTTGTAATAAACACAGCACATTAATGAGTACACTAAATTTTAGGGAATATTGGGATCCTTATTATCACTTCTTTTTAATAGACTGAAAAAATGAATATTTTATTAAAATTTGAAAACCTCAGTCAGCACAATTTATTACTAAGCACTGCAGATGAATTACGACAGTCACTACAACTAGGAACACATTAGATGAGCCACTACCCATTGATTAGAGTTGACTTTGTGATCCCTATGCAAAAGGACAACAGAAATGTACAAAGAAATTCTTCATTTTCTGTGCTTTTAAACTTGTCAAGTTTAAATGCTTAGAAAAGGATAGAACCAAAAAAATTTCATAAATAGAACATATATTAGGTAGATCACCTCAAATATTCATGCAGGGTTATCACTACACAGCATTATTTGAAAGTTTGGTGCAAGCCTTGTTGCAATTCCATGCTATGATCAAACTGGAGGTGCCAAATCCAGGGAGCAAATATGCTAGGCACTGTATCAAAATATGGGCCTTAACAGGATTGATAAAGGTAGGGGGAAATGAAGTAAATGACAGAGGGAGGAAGGAAAGCACAGCGTTTTAAAAACGTAGTCTAAGAAATGCAGTCTGACAAGGTTGCAATTAATATCAAACAAGGGTTATAGTTATACTATAAGTACAATTCCTTAACAAATCCTGATGCAATCAATGGGACATTGGGTCCTAATCTTTATTTTTAAAATTTATTTTAACCAATTTATTCCCCTCAAATTATCACTAAATAAGCACATCAAGCAATTTTTTAAAGAAAATATCAAATTCTCAAGTACAAATGGCTTGCCAGGGAAAATTCAATTTTATGTAACTTCTATTTTTTTTTTTTTTTATTTTAAATGAGTGATTATAACCAGAAGGTAGGAAGAAAAAGCCCCTAAAATGTAGCTTTTCATCCACCAACCGCTTCTCAGAAAACTCAAAAACCTCTCTATTATTCTATCCAGAATCTTAAATCCACTCTGGTGACATATGAACCCTGTACAGTTCTTAAAAGCAATTTTAAGTTCTATATTTAATGATGAGTTTATTTAATGTGTGCTTCCTCCACGGGCCTGCATGTGTTAGGCTAGGGACCAGGTCTATTTTTTAGTACCTGCTTGTGTATCTGGTACAAATAAAACATGGCAGAGGTCACCATTCATCCCGCTCCACTCCCGACAGTCAATTTTACAGAGTACTATGAAAACTAACCAACAGGGAGTTTTTCTATTTTCTCCACCCCTTCCACTAGTGCTCTCCTCCACTTTATTCTGGTTATAATAATCATATTTTTAATATCCTCATCACATTGCATGTTAACAGAATGCCTCACATAGAAGTGAGCCATCACTGTGTGCTCGGAATCTCTGACAATGCCAGGTGACATTCTTTTGTTTTACTTTCTAACTGGCATCAAGAAATGGTTTATAAAAAAGACATAATACTTAAAAATAAAAGGAAGTATTACTAGAGGGCATAAAATATATGAAACAAATAAAGTCAATAATATAACAAATATAACAAATCTTTTCCTTCTAGTTATAAAATATCGATTAAAAAAACCCAATCAATCTGCCAAAAAAGAATCCTATATATTTAATAGCAACAAATCACCAAGAGTCCTATTTCTTTTTTCCATGTAAAGTAATCCCTTCACAATCCTTTTAGTAAAAAGTCAGAAAGAAATACATACATGATGGTGTTAATGCCTGAGAGCTGTTGGAACATTTGTAGGCCACAACCCACAATTAAAGCTCGGCGAGTTGGGGGATAACTCAGCATTCTGCAGATCACAGGTCCAGCTTTTTTAAAAAAGAAAGAAAAAGAAGAAGGACATATCTATTATTTTTAGCATCCATAATAATTTTTCCCATTAGGAAAAAAATATCCCCAAATTTCTGTGCAATCAACATCACTGGGCCTTTTAAAATAGAACAAATATACTTTAACAGAAACCCAAGTACAATACCTCAATATCTTCTTTCTAAAACAGTTTTAATACATTTTTGTTTGTTTATTTTAGGTTAAACTAAAAGCAATGAGAGAGAATTCAAGTTAAAGCAAGTGATAAAGTGATGGGTATGAGGAAGACCTATATCATTAAAACTGTTAGAAATAATTCTTCCTTAAATCCCTACCGGCTACCTTCATTAATTACTCCCTTTGTCCTTCCATTTTCTTTGCAATTAAATATTATTTAAAATTTATCCACATAGGACCACTTACAAAGTCACTGGCAAACTGCCTTAATCAACTAAAAGAATCACATTTATTATGATTAACAAAAGAACACAATTCATTTCATTCTATTTGACTAAAGGTAAGGAATAAGGGTTTAATATCAGACTTGGTTATAGCTACAGGGGATATTACTAACAAAAGTTATCAAAAAGAATAAAATTTAAAAATCAGTATAAACTCTGTGTGTACATATACACAAATGGGTATTTCTTAATTCTAAATATTTCCCCCAGAGGCATTCTAATACATAAACAGGCTTTCAAAATGGCATAAATCCCTTGATCATCACGTCAGAAGGCTAGATCAATTCTGGAGAGCCATGGATATGTACCACTGAAGACTCCAGAAAGGTGAGCAACCTTACTGTAGCCTACTGTCAGGGCATAATGAAGACAAGTATCCCTTCCATTCTAAGAAATGTCATTTTAACTTCAAAATTTTAACCATTATTCTTTAGGATGTCCTTAAGAGCAAGAGTTGACTCCCAGGATCTGTTTCATTCCTGCTGTTAGAAGGGATGAGTTGAGATCAGCAGGGTGCCAATGGCTACTTCATGAGAGCACTCTCCTGGAGGTCAAGTACTGCTGAGCCCTAAACTAAGTCAAGTATGTTAAAATTGTAGGAAGTCTCACTATTTCAGGAATCTTTTGGAAATCTAATACCCACTTTGCAGAAATGGAACAGAACGTGCTCATCTCAGCAATATATGCTAATATGAGAAGATAAGTTAGAATATTTTCTCTCTTCATGGGTGTGATTACAATCACAAAATTGACTTGCTGCAAATGTTTTTGCCTCAAAATGGCAAGACAGACCACAGATTAACTTCAACAAAAACTGAAGGCCATTCAAAGCTAAATAAAGTGACAACCCATTCAGAAAGCAGGCTGAGAGTATTATAAACAACACCACTTAGATTCAAGCAAGTTAATTAAAACCAAATACATCAGAAAGGCTGTGTAAGATTGGGACATACAGAGAGCTTTCACTGCAACAATGTTGAAAATACATCTGGATGAGCTACCTAAAAGATAGGCAGATACATCCACAGAGCCATTCCAAAGAAGGAATGCCATACCATCATACAAACATGTAACTTCTCATAAATTAAAACTTTTGAATAAAAAGTTCATGGTTTATCTTGTATATCATGGAAAATGTTTAAATGACAAAACCAAACTAAACCAAACCAAACCCTTTCTTAGTATTTAGTGACCTCTACAATGAGAAACTGGCAATTCATCTTGCAAGAAATCTATTATGCTCTTCGGAGAGCCCCATCTACTTCAATATTAAATTGTTCCTTGATCTAATGGACAGGTTAGGTCACAGAGATTTTAGAGGGCAGCAAAGCAAAATAACAAATTAGGATCAAAGTTTGACTTGCTTTAGTATGAAGAGGTAAGCTATTGCATAAATGTCACAAACATTTCTAGCTTTTTAAAATCTGGATTTTTATTTTTTATTTGCTATTGATTTGGATTTATTTGTTAACAATAAAGAACACAGTTCATTTTTTAAACTTTATTTTTTAATGGATACATTTGGTCAGGGCAATTACATGTATACATAAAAAAAATTAAAGAATTTCCTGTCATTAAAATTATAATCCTAGCTTTATAAGGCAGGAAAAACTGACTTAACAAATGAAAATCATCATTAATTTTCAAATTACCGAAACTATGAGGCAGAAAGAAAAAAACTCAAATTTATTAATTGGCTGAATGTCTATAGATCAAACTCAAATTTATTAATTGGCTGAATGTCTATACATGTCAAGCTTGACTTACTACATTTCTATTGCTTTTGTAAAAGCAAAGTATTAAAAATGCTTGCTGTATACAAATATCTCATGCTTAATTTTTAAAAACATTTATGTCTTTGAAACATATAAACTTCAACACAATAAAAACTTAAAATCTCTAACCAATTAACATAGATTAGAAAGCCAAAAATGCAATAAATAGTTACAGCAATAGAGTGAAGAAACCAAAATGAGTTGATCTTTTCTTTAATTCTGAACCCCTCACAACACTGAGCTGCTAACTAACTTTTACAGGGTTGTCCAGGTGGGTAGAGGCTCTGAGAACAGGCACAAAATATACAGTCCTACAGATGTAGCCTTTTCCAGGGATGGACTGACAATATGCTCAGCTTCCTGAAGTCTTCTAAGAACAATTAAAAATGTGCTAAAATCCAATTTGTACAACATCTCAGCTTTTAATTTCATTTACCAGCTAAAATGGAGGTTACGAGCTTTACCTTCCTACATGAAACTACTAGACTCATTCAAAATGCATAAAATAACAGTTCTCATGATACTGGATAACCTGTTCCAAAGGACAGTGATATCTGAGATTCCGAAACAAAACCAATGACGGGCCTGGGGAGGGAACTCAGTGGTAGAGAAGTTGCCTAGGGTGTGTGAAGTCCCAAGTTAAATCCCCAGTACCACAAAAACAAACAAATAAACAAATGTGATGAACCATCTAGTGGTCCCAGCTTAATGCCCCAAAAAGAATCCAGGCTGCAGCACAAGGAAGAGAGGCAGGTTGGGCTGCTAGTGTTGAGTTGAATAGATGTAAATCCAAACAGAGATGCAACAGTGCTGGCCTTCACAGGGCAGAGGAAAGAGAGTCTGAGACAGAGAACTCTGGATCTTCAGAGTTTCCTTTCTGTATTCAGTTAGTACTGGTCAGTGGCTATGTGTGAGGAAACCACCCTCTCCCCCAGGAGAAAGAGTCCAGGAAAAAATAAGGGAAATCATTCCCAAGAGCTGATGCAGGGCTGTGAACAATACCTTTTCCTACCAACTAAAGTGAAAAGTCTGGAGCAAAAGAAATATTTTCAAAAGAGATTCACCTTAGCAATAGTACGAACTTAGTACTATATTAAAGACTATCTAAATTAGCTTGAAAGCAAGAATAAGCTGTTTCCAAGTAACTGAAAAGCATCCTAGAACAAAGCGCAACTATAAGATTAAATTTATATCTGGCATATAATAAATACTACCAGGCAAAAGAGAGGACAATACCACCTATAATGATAAAGAAATCAATTCATCAAGAAGACAAACCAATAAACACTTACACACCCACTAAGAGCTTCAAAATATATGAAACAAAAATCAATACAACTCCAAGGGGAAATAGATCCATAGTTATAAGCCGATATTTCATCAATTTTTCTTAGTAACCAATGGAACATGCAGGCTGAAAATCAGTGAGGATATAGATTTCAATAACATTACCAATAAACTTGATCTAATAACTGACATTTAAACAGTATTCTAAATAAAAATAGAATACATATTCTTGAATAGTAAATATATGACCTGGTGGTGGTACAAGCCTGCAGTCCCAGCTGTAGGGAAGGCTGAGGCAGGAGGATTGCAAGTTTGAGACAAGCCTCAGCAATTCAGTGAGACCCTCAGAAACTTAGACCCTATGTCAAAATTAAAAAAAAAAAAAAAAGTTTAAAAAGACTGAGATGTAGTTCAGTGATAAGAGTGCCCCTGGGTTCAAACCCTAGTACTGCACTGGAGACAGCAGGTGGTAAATGTATGGTTAACATTTTGAAACATTAATTCAAAACAGATTATATTTTAAACTCTAAAACTGGCCTTAATTAATTTAAAAGAATTCAAGTCATACAAAGACAGTTCTCTGGCTGTAACAACATTAATGCAGAAATCAGTTAGAAAACACCCCCACACTGAAAACTAAGTAACACATTTCTGAGGACCAAAGAAATAATGAAAATTAGAATATGAAACTATACAAAAATATAAAATGTATGGAATGGAATTCAAGTAGAAAAGATGAAATTTTATAGTAATAATCTTATCTTTGATCTTTTTTCAATTTTTAAAATTGTTTTTATTATCTTCCATCTTAAGCCAGCAGTAAAAGACAAGTAACACCTAAAATAGACACAAGCTAAAAGTAGTAAGATTTGAATCCATGAAATAGAAAAGAGAAAAATCAATGAAACTGAAACCTGATTCTCTGAAAAAATAACTAAAACTGATAAGCTTCAAACCAGTCTGCAGCTAGCGCTAAATGCATGTGTCCTTATAAGAGATTGGCGAGTTCAAGACAGAAGAGGAGAAGGCAAATACGGAGACTGGACTGATGTGGACACAAGCCAAGCAATGCTGGCTACTATCAAAGCTGGACAGGTCAAAGAACAGATTGTCCTTTAGAGCTCCCACAGGGAGTGCAGGTCTGATGACACAATGATTTCAACATGAACCTGTGGTCATGAGAATTGTGAAAGAACAAATGCCAAATTTTTAAGTTACAAACTTTGCTGTAATTTGTTACAGCAGCTAATGAAAACTAATACATAGAAAGACTGGGGGAAAATGAGAGAAGACAAAGTTGACCATTACCAGAAATAAGAGTGATGGATTCAATACAGACATTAAAAAATAAGAGAATCCCATAAATGACTTTGTGCCATCCAATATGTCTTAAATGCAATAGACATGTTCACTAAAATATGAATTTTCCTGAAGCTCACTCAAGAAAAAATAGATAGCCTCAGTAGCCAGGCCTAA